TGTTTGGCTGGTGTGCATGAATCTGGATCTATTCAACTTCCAATTCAATCCAAACAGCCAAGTCTTTGGGTTCAGACCTGTAGATCATTTGCTTTGCTCCGGAACAGGGATTAATTTGTTACAATGTTGAATTTTCTTTTTGGTTTGGTTCACTTTTACAAGGCAACATTGCAAAGTGTACCAAACTGTGTTTATGCAAGCCCTGTCCTCTTATCTGTCAAAGTTCACCTGTTTACATTCCTCTGCGTCATTCATCAAGATGGATTGACAAGTTCGCTTCGCAGGCTTATTGTGGCTTTATAGCTGTCCTGGAACACGCATAAATGTACGAATGTAGCCATCATTCCCTCTCTAATATATCTATCTATATACTGTACATCCTCTTCAAGGAGGTCTCAGTACGCTTGTTTGGTCCGCTTTTGGCGCACATCCGAGCATTCACACCTGCCCAAAACGAACCACACCAAGAGGGACAATGGACTCTAGTGCAATTTAACTTAACTAAATGAGGCAGGTTTGAAAGCACCCATTACGATATTGTATGACAAAAACAATAAGTGTCATATTAAACATAGCAAACATATATATTTCCTTGTTTCTTAATGCTAGCAAGATAAGTTAACATACAAAGCCAATTAGTACTGTACTAACAATCAGTTTCATTCAGATTGTTAATATGTTGTATTTACCATCTGAACTCTGATTGGATGGTAGATAGGTACTCCTGTTTATGTAATACTCTGGTTGAAAGAAGATATCTCCAATACATTCTTAGTTCCTTATGAGGTTAAAGATAGGGGTGTGAATCGTCACTGGTTTCACGATTCGATTCGATTACGATTACGATTATCTTTTGTTTGTTTTTTTGTTGTACGATTATCAGATGTTTTGTCCTGTTCTGAAAACATAACTGACTGTGTTTAGACCTACATCAATTTCGTATCATAAAAGCATTCGGAGATGCAAGTACATGCAGCTGCGATCGCACTTCAGGACAACAAACACAAAGCGCACGTGAAAGTCTGTCAGTGCGCGAGTTTCGTGCATCAAATACGTACTGCATTCCAAATGGCATAAATGAAAGCATATCTAAAATAAAACACTGAAATAATGGCAGATGGAAGCACAAGTAAAGCAATGCACACGTGTGTCTGACAGCACGCATATTCTGTGCAATGAAGCCCGCCTCGATTGTCTCTAGCGCACACATGTGCTTCTATTTTCCAAAAAATATGCCCAGATCTCGAATTTAAAAATAGTGGGCGCAATTTTTTAATACTGGAGTAATAAGCGTGTATGCGAATGAGGTCAGTAAGCTATAATTGATTACGGTCTATTACTGCATCGATGCAGAATCGTCCACATCCGCATTGCGATGCATCAATGCAATGATTCATTTCAACACCCCTAGTTAGAGGCCATTAAAGGGATAGTTCACCCAAAAATGAAAATTAGCCAAAGATTTACTCACCCCCAAGGCATCCTAGGCATGTCTGACATTCCTCTTTCAGACGAACACATTCGGAGTTATATTCGACATTGTCCTTTCTGTTCCAATCTGCATAATTGCAGTGAATGGTGCCCCTGTTTCTGAATCCGAATAAAGTATCCATCCATCAAAAAACTACTCCACACGGGGTGTTAATAAAGGCCTTAACAAAAATGTCGATTCTTATAACTTTATAAACTGTAATGTCCAGCTTCCGGTCGCTCAGGCAGGCACGTTCACAACAAGGTGGTCGAGCGTATGACGTAGGTGTAACGAAAGGCGCAACGTAAGATCCGGGGAGAAGACTGTAGTCTCGCGAGAGTAAGCTCCGGGGAGAAGCATGTAATCTCGCGAGAACCAAGTTTTGTTTACGGCACAGGAAACCATGTGAACAAGTAAATTGTATCTGTCAATACCCAGGATGTTTAAATAAGTTTGTGACAGGTGTTTTGTTTTGCCTTCTCCTCTGTGCATCCGCGTTCGTCACTCTCTCCCCAGATCTTACGTTGCGCCTTTCGTTACGTCTATGTCATTCGCTCGACCGCCTTGCTGTGAACGTGCCTGCTTGAGCGACCGGAAGCTGGACATTACAGTTTATAAAGTTTTAAGAATCTATATTTTTCTTAAACTAACGCATCATTTCGCTTCAGAAGGCCTTTATTAACCCCTTTGCTGTCACCCCCCATTTTCGGCATGGAGACACAAATGACGTACCCAAAATAAAAAGATTGCTGCTCATGAGTCTTTCTGACTAGATACATAATCAACATATGTTCACAAAGCTGACACTTCAAAGTTTACTGTTCAAGAATCAGAATTACTCAGACTGTTATGATAATAGAGATATATTAGCTCAAACATAAAAACAAAAATAAAAATATTA